GGTGGTTGTTTGTACAAAGACACGCATTGTCACATGGGTGACATAACGCTAATCCGATTGGACGAGAGAAGCGGGGAGAGAAAGAGAGAGCGAATTGTTCCAATGGGTGGATATGATAACGTGGGGCCGGTTATGTAACATCCAGGAAGGTGGCGGCGCAGTCAGGGGGGATTGAAGGGGTCTCGGTTGGGCAAATAAAATCCATCCCAGGCAGCGGAAATCAGCTCTAACAACAGCAGTTCTCAAATAAAAGTAGCATCCTAACGTCATTGAAAAGTGATTGAAAACATTGCACTGTACACACACTGACACACACAAACATGAGCGAAACGCTGCGTATACTTAGTTTTCCGATATTTCCCCGATAGTGTACGTATCGTAGCTCCGCAGGAGAGCAGCTGAAGTAACGGGCATTTCTTTTGTCACCATTTTGTTTGTTTGCGCCCGCCGCGTCTCATCTCTCGTCATAAGTAGGAGGGCGCCGTCTTTCGATTGGTCACTGCTGAGGAACAAATCGAAGGACGGCGCAGGACACGTTACTCTATGTGGCAAGACAAACACAAATTCTGGCATTCGTCATGTTGGTCATGAAGCACCCCCAACCCCATCTTCAAACTTTCGCCCTGGCTTGGGACCCTTCTTGAACAGCCTATCCCCGAGTTGGAACACTATTTGGAAGGCCTGACTCTTGTTTGAAACGCCAACCATGGTTTGAAATCATCCGAATCTGGAACCTGAACACGGGGTCAAAACCCTCATTTGAAAAACCTAGCCCATGTGTGAAACCTGAACCCTGACTACAAAACCCTCATTTGAAACCAGAACCCTGGCTCGAAACCCAGATACAGGGTTGAAACCCTCATTTGAAAATCCAATCATTGTTTGAAACCTTAAGCCCAACTGAAAACCCCAGTTTGAAACCCTAGTGCTGTCTTAAAAACTGACTTCCAAAGCTCAGTACTCATTGGAAACCCGTTTCCACCTTGAAACCTTCCTTTGAAATCCTAACCCTGGCCTGAAACTAGAGCTGAACAACTCATGGAATTCAAATCGACATCACGGTGAAGTAGAATCCCATTTTCAAAAGGCAAAAGGCTCCACTTGGGTTCCTTTTAGCTCAGCTTGCAAACTTCACACGATCAAACTCACAAAACAGGTGAGCCCTGAGTGGTCGTCACCTGAGGAAGTAACAAAATGGCTGCCCCTGCCATGGATAGGAAATTGGGCATTTTGCAGCTAAATTCATATTCCACAAACAAAGGATTAATCAGAATACCATGGTTGGATGAGCGGGTCCGCGTAGAACATCTTAACGAGAAGAACGTTTTTGATGTGACTTCCCTTTAGTGAATTTTGACTTCTGGTTAACCCACACTTGTTTGGTGGCATTTTGCGAAGCTGTTGTAATGAACGTTTCAAAGACCGCCAGTCAAAACGTTTCCCAAATTAACAACAGTAATTGAAGTCGATTAAAAAAACTGCCTTTCATATTAATTTGTGGTTCATTTGCCTTCATTCACCCATCAATCCATGATCTGATCCCCTTATTCTGACAAGGGTCACGGAGAGTTGAGTTGACTTATTCTGACAAGGGTCGCGGAGAGTACCGGGAGAAAACCCACGCTTGCACGGGGAGAACATGCAAATTATTCCACACAAGAAGGCCGCAGGCCGGATTCGAACCCACGACCTCGGCACTGTAAGACGGGCGTGCTAACCAGTCTCACAAATTTGCCTTAATCGTTGCTTAACCTCAAGCGAGAGGGGGGAAAATGTCTGTATCCTAAATATGATTGTTATTTTTTTTTTTTTTGTAAAAGAGATGAATTCATTGTTTGTGTCTGTTGAAAAAGACATTCAAAAACTTGCGTTTGGACCACATTTGGTGTTAAAAAAGTGACCTGGAGGAGGAAGCGACGAAGTCTCCGTCCAGCAGGCGAACTTTGCAGAAGAGAACCCCGTTGACGAACGGCACAGCGCTCAGCTCCTCCAGCGTCAGATGAGTCTGGAACTTGAATTTCTTCTTTTTCGCGAAGAACGCCATTCCACTGCTCTCTTCTGTCGACACTTGGGTCGCGTGAAAAGCCCTCAACACAACAAAAGCACTCCGGAAGAGAATTTAATGGTGGCGTCTTATTCCAGCTTTGGGCGAGAAGCAGCCCGATCCTCTTCTTTCGTCGTGCTCCCCGGCGGCGATTCGATGCAGAAATCTGGAGAAAGAAAAAGAAAAGACCGTGCTCAAGTCGACATTTGGCACTTAAGGAGACACAATATTTTGATAGGCTTGTTAAAAAAAAAGTGAGGCGGGAAGGCCCACCCGGAGACATTTCTGCTCGCCGCAACGATTCTCCCAAACAAATGACACAAAACAGCACTTTTTCCACACTGCGAACAGGATTAATCCAGCCAGCGGGGTCTCGGATCAGGCTAACACAGCAAATGACTCGCATTCCGGTTTTGCTTTCAAAACAAGAAAAGTGTTAGTCAGACCCACACAATGAACATGAACGTCGCCTTTAAATTACAAATAATCACACATAGATGTGTCGTTGCTCTGAAATCACATTCATTTTAATTCTTACAAAGACACATAGCAGTTGTCGAATCTCGTAACTTTTATTTTTTTATGGACAAATGACACAATTTCCGTGTATTTATGTCGTAACCCTTCCTGACTTGATTTTGAAGGTTCCCAGGAACTGACAAATCAAAGGCAACAGAATCTCTCAATCAAAGCGCGGCCTCAAAGCGCTAAAACAGCGCCCTTTAGTGGCTGACACCCGCATGTGCTATTTTGAACAAGCCATACGAATACAAACAGTTCGGCGCGATACATAAACCTTCGTCTTTACATTGAATTCCCAATTTTAAACATTACCCCAAATTACTTAAATTAAATTAAAACCCTCAAAGTGACTTCAAACTTAACCCCAGTTTGACACCCCAATTTAAAACATTTGCCTTTGTTAGAAATCCTTCGAAAATGTCTTGGAACCAGAGTTTGGAGCCTACACGTTTGCTTAATATCTGAATCCTGTCTTGATTATTTACTTGAAACCCTAATTGTGGCCTGAGGTCACCATTATAAAACCTAAATTGTCAGCTGAAACCCGGACTGCCTCATAGACCTGTTTTAACACTGCCCAGCACGTCGCACATCCCTGGTGGTCTAGTGGCTAGGATTCGGCGCTCTCACCGCCGCGGCCCGGGTTCGATTCCCGGTCAGGGAAGGAAAGCTTTTGAAGCGTATGACCACATGATCTTTGGTCGTACCCTGGAAGAAGATGGTATCTCTCGTGTGGTGATTTCAGTGGCATGTAGGGGTCGTAAGTGTTGCTGATTATTCTTCCTGCTTTTTCATGATATCTTAAAATGTTGGCTCCCTTGGACGCCTCAAAATGGATCTGCTTAATTCTTATTCTACAAACCCAATATTAATCAGAACACTGTACTGTGTTTAGACGAGTGGGAGTGGGGGGGAGGCATAGAACATATTGTAAATGCAATTTTCGATTTGCTTCCATGTTAAGACTGTCATCTCATCTCATGTACTGACACTTTTTTTTTTAACCTAAATAATTTTTTGTTGACCACTCTTGTGGTACATTCACGTGTACATTATAGGATTCTGTTTACTTGTCTTAATATTGCTGGTGCTTCATAGACCAGACTATTGATACCCATATTGTTATTCAAACATCCCAAAATATATTCTGATGATTACAGTAGTTGCATGTATAATTGTTTTTTGCGACGCAGCACTGCTGTTTTCTTGCTGCTTTTTGTTCACATTCAGTGGATATAGTATAGTATCCTATTTATACAGTGTACGATTTATCATATTTAGACTACCTAGCGAAACATATAAAGCTTTTTTTTAATATACATATAATGCTGCCTCGTTTTATTTTCTCATTTTTGGGTGCGGAATCCCAGAGTTGTCCACCGTGTCGCCCCATTACAGGAGTAAATGCTAATTCTCTTATATGATGGCTGAAAAGCACATACAGTATGTACTGTCTGTATCTAAACATTTATGGACGTTGTCATTCATTACTTCGTGTTGGTCACTAGAACACCTTGTTGTTGACTTCTTGTCTCGGGATGAACCAGTACAAAAACATCCTAAAGTGTCATTTTGTGCGTCAAAACAAACTAGCCTGCTGTCAAATGCTGCCCCCACCATCTGCCCTCACCTGTACAGGGGTGTTTGTGCGGCTCTGCAGGTTAAAGTGCGACCACTGCAGTGGTGTGACGCAAATGAAACGTCAACAACAAAACGGTTACTGTGAGGCAAGACAACACATCTCTGATGAATTAGGAACCTCTCGGAGATTGATACCTTTGACCCAAGTACAAGGCCATTAAATAGAATGTACGTTTACCACATATTCTTTTAATTAATTAAATGTACAAAAGAAAAATCGGATGAAAACAGCAAACCGCCCTGGGGCTGCTGTTTCATGTGGTTAGTCAAATATGTTACCGTTGAATAGAAAACAGTCTCCACCAAATGTGAACAACTTTGCTCTCTTTCTTTTTCTGGCATTTGGAGTTCAACCTGTTTCTCCTTCCACATCAAGGCATTAAGACATGATGCGGACACAAGACCAAGTGACATAACACGGCGCACACAGTTAAATCAGTTGACAACTCCAGAGTGAGACAAGGACAGAATTGCTGAGATAAGAGAGGGGATTATGAGAACTGGACTTGGGCGTGTTCTCATTAGTCTGATTAACCCTGCAGAATCTTAAAATATGGGTGACTCCGGAAAATATGACTGATGACTGAATTGCAAAATCACGTTGTTTTCTTTATTGTTGTGCTTTGTTTTGAGTTTCATTTGAATCCCCTAGTAATACAAGAGAAGACGTTTTCCCTGGTCACTAATCGTTTCTTTAAACAATAGTGCACAACTAACAAACGTTGCCACAATATGTAAAGTTGTGCAAGACTAAATATCACTGTTGAAATAAAAAAAAAAAGAGAGTGCAGAAAAATTGCAGCCGTTTTCTCATAGCCATCTTTTGTTTCTTGTTTTCGTGTAGCGATTTTCATCATTGTACCTTTATTGGCCCTCCATTGATTAATTAGTATTTTTCTTTGGGGCCTGTGTCAGCTGAGGGAGCTTCTGGCAGTCTTTGAATGAAAGGACACACCTAATTGGTTCATCGTTGACACGTTGACCAGACCAGAAGCGAGTACAGGATTGGTCTACAAAACGCCAATCCTTACGCAACTTTTAAGGCGGGACCAATCCAAGCCAGTCAATGAGCAAGCCTGCCGATTGGCCCAATGGTAAAAAGACTTCGATGCCGGGTGGTGAGAAGTGCCGAGACAGCCAATGACTTGCCACTATTACGCTAAGGGGCGGGGCATTACGAAATTCTCATGAAGCCGGCGTCTTGTGACTCACCGGCATTTCGGTCGTCCACCGGGAAGGAGTAGCTATCTCTCCTCTATTTAATTTATTTATTGTAGCTCACTTTGCAATTGAAGGAACCCAACATGCTTGCCCTGTGCCTTTACGTCCCCGTATCCAACTCCGACCCGGTGGAAGTGGACTACTTCGAGTCGAACGGACTTCCGACCGAACTCAATTCGCTCTTCAACAAACTGAGCGTGTTTCTGCCGTCCCAGGAGTTTTCAACCTACCAAAGATGGCGAAAAGTAAGAAATAAACCGTGTAAATATTTACGCATAGCGGCGCTTGTGATAATACTGACTAGCCACTTCGTGCTTCGTCCTTTCATGGATTGTGTCTGGGACTCTGGGCGCCGGCCGGTTTAGCATAGCTGAAATAGCTGAAGCCTTACGACTAGGCCGCGAAGCTCGCCGTGCTCCAGGTGCCACGACGTTGTCGTTGCCCCCCCACATCTTCACAAATCCTAATTTTAACAATTTAAAAGTTTTAGAAAATGTTTATATACGTGTACAGTGCAGATATAATGACTATCCGCCCCGTTCAAACGCTTTTTTTCTTTAAATAACGTAGGGCGGGAGCGTCCACCCTTCCGTGGAAGCCGCCTTCTCATTCATTGCATTTGTGACGTCACGGAGCGCCTTTCAAATAGATTCGAGCAAGAAATGTAAGCAAAATAAAGTCTGAAGTTGGTGTATGTATAGTTTGTGATGTGGTTTTAGGTTAATGAAAATGAACGTCCTGCCGCACCTTAAAAAGCTGCATTTCCCTGTAATTTGCATACCAAGGAAAATTGTTGGGGAAAATTTTCCCATTGCAAGAAGGATTTTGTTAGCAGCTGATTTTCATGCTTAAAAGTTGACATTCATCCTCCCTCTGCGTGCGTGCGATTACTGCCTGACAAGTCGGGCCGGGTCGGGTGTGATATTGCGTCAAAGGGACAGCGACCTGCTCTCGATTTAGTTTGAGACGGGATTACCGGTGTTGGCGGCGGACCTCTGCGGCTCTCAGGTCAAAGATAGAGCAGTCATCGTGTCACTCGAGGCCGGATAAATGGGTCACGGTGGCAACACTGGACTTTAAATGGATATTAGAAACACCAACATCCATTCCATCTGTCTGTGTGTGACCTGCAGAAAACCCAAGAGAGGGACGCCAAGATGTCTGACGACCAGCTGGATTTTGAGGAATTTGTGCACTACTTGCAGGACTACGAGAAGGATCTGAAGCTGGTGCTAAAGCCCCTGGACAAGAGGAATGCAGGTGAGTGTCTCACATTTCCCCCGAGAACCCCGACTCCAACTGGCTTTGTATTAAACCCATTTTCATTTTTTTCAAGGCCGAGTGGACAGCAAGGAATTCATCCAGGCTCTCCAAGACATCGGCGTGCACATTTCCCATCACCTCGCCGAGAAAGCCCTTAAGAGGTAGCTGAATGGACTCTCAAATTGTGTGTGTGTGTGTTTGTACAGATCAAGGAGTTGAATGTGCTCATTTGTCTTTTAGCATGGACAAGAACGGCATCATAACCATCAGCAGTAAAGAATGGAGCAAGTACCCCACCGTGGAGAAGACCGAGGGCATTCCCGAGATCATCCTGTACTGGAAGCACTCCACGGTGAGTTGCACAAGCGCTCTTACTTCGACTGTGTCGGTACATGCAAGGATATTTTCCACAGGGCATATGTTTTTATGCGTTTTGTCCCTTTGCCCTTAAAACTGGGCTTTTCGAAAATTTCAGGGTTTTGATTGGCTCAAACGTTTCAAAAAAGTTGTATAAAACCTCTGGTCGCATTTTAATATACCCGAAATCTTGTGAAATATCTCATATTGACCCATAAAGTTTGTCAGACTTTCCTTATTTTAAGATGTCAAAATACATTTTCAGGTGGTGGTATTTCTCTTATTTAGCAAAGTAAAACTTACACCATCTGGCCATAAACTTTGTTATCCCAGGTAGACACTGTGTTAACCTGTTTTTTTTTTTTAATCAGATGGCCTATTTTGGCATGATTAGCCGTTCTTTATTGGCTCCAAAGTGCACCTTCCTGTCCCGGCTAAACGGGCCAATAAGAAGGACAGCGACCTGCGCGTCAGCGCATAATCTCCGGTGGGATTATGTGTGCTGTTATGTAAATACATCAAAGTGCCCCCCAAAGAGAACAGCTGATGACTGTTAAGAGGCTTCCATGGGTGGTGACAACGAGCACCTAATGTAATAAGAAGTGCCTTTTTTAACCTGTTAATTGGCACATTAGGGTTACTGGTTGACTGTGCTGTGCTTTGGCCTTTTGCGGGCATCCACTGGACCCTGCTAACCAAGGCATCACGATGATCCCTTGACGGTGCCAATGACAACAAAGCTATTGCACAGTGTGACCTTTACTCAAGGATATGGAACGTGCTCGGTCCTCTTGCACTAATGTTTGATTGAAGGCAGATGATAGAAGGTGGTTGTTTTTGCCCTGATCCACTCCCACCCGAACAAGTGCATTTCGACACAAGTACACATATTTGCGTGTGCTAAGTAGTAATTTCATAGCACATTAAGGAATTGAGGTCGGATGATGACACATTTTGAATGTGCAGGACATTTTCATTCCATTTATTTACCTCACCTAACACTCGGTGATAACATTTGCACAGTGAAAGCCTGCACGTTGTAAAATTTTACACACATTATATGATGCATACTGTGTTTATTTTAACACTGTTTTGTGCTGCGTACCTTTTGAAAGAGAAAGGGAAGCGTTTCTGACCAGATTAGAAACGATCGAGTGCCTCAGTCCTTTATCATCCTGCATTTTATGCCTACAGAAAGCCACAGCTCAATGTTCTTTTTATAACACGCATCCTTGTCTCTTGCAGATCTTTGATGTGGGCGAGAACCTGATGGTCCCCGATGACTTCAGCACAGAGGAGAAGCAGAGTGGCACTTGGTGGCGCCACCTGGTGGCGGGCGGCGGAGCGGGCGCCGTTTCCAGGACGTGCACGGCGCCTCTGGATCGCGTCAAAGTCATGATGCAGGTAAGGCGGTCGTGTACGGCAACTCGGGGGGGAAAGTGGGGCAAGCCGGTCAGATGTTGCAAAAGTGGTTTTGCGTCATTGTCTTACGATAAAATCAGAGTTAATGTTTAATTGGAAGAGGGGAGGCAGAGTCCGAGGTCGACGCACCGTGGCGTGAAATCGCTTCGTGCGTCATTGCCGGGCCAAAGTTCCTCACGTGGGTCTGTGGCCTCCAGTTGGCGGCACAAGCTCAACTTTCACCCACGGCGATGACGATTTTGACACCAAGACTAAACATTGCGTTTTTAAACACAAATGTTGTAACCAAAACTTGTACCGTAATAACCAAAGTCCACTAGCTTAATGTTAAGATCATGTGGAGAACCCTCAAACCAGCTCAAGAAATTAGCAAAGATATGTTACGGTAATGATAGTTTTTGCTACTTCACGTGGGTGAACATACGGTAATCGGGCATTGAGAAGCCTTTTTACATAAAGGGTTAGAATGTTGGGGTGTCCAAAGTTGGTCCTTGTGGGCCGCCGTCATGCCGGTTTTCCAGCTCTCTCAGGAGCAACATACCTAATTCAAATCTTCAGGATGGGTCTAATGCCGCTTCCGAGTTGGCCGATGAGCTGATCATCTGAACAGTTAGAGCAACTGTACTCGAGCATAGAGAAGAAAAGCGTTTTTGAAGACCACCGCTGTCCCTCAGCTGTGCATATTAATGAGTTGCCGTCCCTCCAGGTGTACGGCTCCAGAAGTAACAACATGTGCATCATGAGCGGCCTGATGCAGATGATCAAAGAAGGCGGCGTGCGCTCACTGTGGCGAGGCAACGGCATCAACATTATCAAGATCGCGCCCGAGTCGGCCCTCAAGTTTATGGCGTACGAGCAGGTACGTCGCGGCGCGGTCCCCGCGCTCCCCCCGCCCGTACGTATGTGAAACGTGAGCCGGCTCACATTTCTGTCTGGTTCCCCGCCGTAGATCAAACGTCTGATCGGCAGCGACAAGCAGACGCTGAGCATCTCGGAACGCTTCGTGGCCGGATCGCTGGCCGGAGTCATTGCCCAGAGTGCCATTTACCCCATGGAGGTGAGCTGGATTGATATTCATCGGGCCCCCGCCAATATGGGCTCTTCAGCGGTGCGAGCCCAGTCTAAAATCATCTGAATTTGCCTCGTGTGACAACCAAATATCTCAGAAAGGTTCTGGGATGCCGTATAACTATGGCGGCGTCGGGCATTGTTGTTTTAGGGAGATCGTCGAGTGGTGGCTAAATAATATTGATAGTATTCCATTTAATCATGTGGAGACCCGCGGCTACTGTATGTACAAATTAGTTTTACTGGCTAAATTGATGTCTTGCGACATTGAATCGGGTCTGGTTTGTTGTCTGGAAATTACGGCACAGAAGGTTCATGTCCTCCGTTCATTGTTCTTTTACTGACTGCATATAAATGATGGAAAATGACTTTTTGTTTTATTCAACTTCAGGTGTTGAAAACCCGCCTGGCTCTGAGAACGACAGGCCAGTACGCCGGCATCTCCGACTGCGCCAAGCAGATCTTCTGGCGGGAGGGCCTGGCGGCGTTCTACAAAGGTTACGTGCCGAACATGCTGGGCATCATCCCCTACGCCGGCATCGACCTGGCCGTGTACGAGGTGAGCGCCGCTACTTTCTCCTCCTCCTCCACCACCCATTTCCGTGCTAACTTGTTGTCATGTGATGACCCCAGACCCTGAAGAACAGCTACCTGCAGCAGTACGGCGCTAGCGATGCCGGCGTCCTGGTGCTCCTGGCATGCGGCACCGTGTCCAGCACCTGCGGCCAGCTTGCCAGCTACCCGCTCGCTCTCGTGAGGACGCGCATGCAAGCGCAAGGTCAGGCCGCCGCACTGATCTCAACTTGTCAAGTTTGATTTAAAAATATATATTTTTTTAAATCCAATTTGATCCTTTTGCAGCCGCGGCAGGCAGCGGCCAGCAAGCGACCATGACGGGGCTCTTCCGGCAGATCCTGCGGGCCGAAGGTCCGACGGGCCTCTACCGGGGGCTGGCGCCCAACTTCCTGAAGGTCATCCCCGCCGTCAGCATCAGCTATGTGGTGTACGAGCACATCAAGAAGCAGCTAGGCGTCACCTCGCGCTGACCGCCCACCGTCCTCCCTGCCAGGGGATCCCACCCACCCACGGGAGGGGGTTTGTGAAGCTTGAGCTCATTCTGTGAATGTCAGCTGACGAAAGACGGGCCGGGGAGGCCGTCCGCGTTGGCCCGCTGCTATTTATTATTACGGTTGCGTAAGCGACCGAACCTTGAGGACCAATAGTTGGAAGGCAAAGCGCGATTGTGTTTGAGTGGATAATATTGCACAGTTGATTTGCTCCGCTGCCACACACTATTTATTTCCATGCACTATTTATTATTTTTATTGTCGAGCGGGACGCAAACGCTCCCGTTTTCATGCGCTCGTGTGTTCAAGAGAGCCAGTTGTGCTTTAAAAACGAAGGCCTTAATGAGTGGTGGAAAAACTATCCGAGTGTTGGAGTTATCACTGTGGGTGATCTGCAGAATTGTCCTACTGTTTACCTCAGGTTAAAGAAATCACACAAGTGTTAGAATTTTTTTATTTGGAGGGGGGCGGCAGTTTTGTCAAAAGAAAAAATTGAGCAACTTATTGCACTTTAATCCTTGTGGGGAAAAGCCTCAACGTCACAGCAGTCCAGGTATTACAGGGAAGACTTTGTTTATAGTATTTTTAAAGACCTATTTTCATGCAAATAAATGCAAATTCTTGTTCAATGGAAAAAAAAGTGCCTCTCATCCTTGAGTCCTTCTGCTTAAAAAAAACATTCACACTGGAAAGAGGTTGGGTATGTGTGCTTTCAGTTGATTGAGTACCTTAAAGGATTGTGGGATTTGGGAGTACAGCTGCAGTAGAAACTCCCATCAGGGTAGGTTACCCACCCTGCAATAAGTGAAATCTGTCATATAAAAGACTCCCTCCCACCCCCCAAAAATACAAATGACAGAAACATCAGACACCGTATACTGTACATATCCCTCTGATTCCAAGAATTAATTTTTTCCCCCCCAAATTGACATCTCACAATTGGGATGGCCCGATCAGATCACGTCATTTTCAGCTGATCTGGTATCGAATGAAAAAGATGGGTTTTATTTTCAGAATATTGAAAGCAAAAAAAAATGTCTATTAAAATGTGCAAATATCTTGCCAAATAGGGTTATATCATCAAAAAGATCAGAGAGCTGAAAGTGGGCCAGACGGCTTAGCGATTACGACACATCCAAGCGACATACCTTCAGAGTTGAACGAGTGTAAATTCTTTGGTGACAAGCAAGCTTGTTCGCCACCGGGTACATTTAATGAGGTCATTAATCAACTCGTGTCGTTTCAAGGTGAGGGAAGTCACGCAAATACCCAACAACTGCATAGCTGTGCGGGCTTGTCATTTTAGCCCGCACAGGCCTAGAAAGAACGACGTAAAGGGATCGTTCGCCATGAGATCGATCGGACTGGAGGTATCGAGCAGGTGAATCCCTCAGTCTAAAATCGGCCATGCCACCAAATTGGTGCCATTTGCGTCCCCAAATTACATGAAAATGCATATTTTGAAAAAGATGTTTTTTTTTAAGTTAGGATTCAATTACTGTGAATGTCATGGCTATAGCGTGTGGATTTGCTAATTTTATGCTTCGACACCACGAAGATTCAGTACAAAAAACTGATACAATGCATATTGATATGTTCAATATGCGCATCATCAAATTTAGTGCTTAAAAAAAAAAGAAAAGATGAGAAAAAAATATAGATTGAATTTATTTTGAGAATATTGCAAATAGTAATTGGTCCAGATTTGGTGGCAAGGTCCATCTAATAGAAATATCTGATGAGCTGCTCATCTGAAACGGGCGCGTTGCAGCCAGGAGAGCTGGAAAACAGGCGGGGCGGCGGCCCCCCTGGCCCGGAGATGGGCATGCCTGCTGTCACCCGATAAAATGATAAAATGTCCACTCTCGTAACCGCCCCTCTCATTAATCTCCATAATCCTGCATAATTATATACATTGCAAAATGTCACCTTGTGTTGGTATAAAACACAGGATGGGAGAGGATTCAGACTTTCAATCATCCCTTTCTAACCCATCAGTGGAAAAGACGGTGAGATTGACATGTTTGCTGTCTTCACGCTTCTTTTAAATTTGAAGTTAATGATGTGCTGCTATCTGGTGGCGGAACGTGGAATTATGCCCACAACAAAATCCGATTTCAACCAAGGTTATTGAGGTTAAGGTAAAGTTGGCTTTTTTTTTTTTTTGGATAAACGCAAAAAACAAACATAGCTGCTCAAAAAAACTAATTTTAATTAAACAATACAAGTCAAAGTTAAATACATAATGATAAAGGAAAGCCCCAAACTATTATAACCCTGGACAATTTTATTAAAAAAAAAAAAAAAAAAAAAACAAACAGCAAGACCGGTGATGAAGGGGAGTTGACTGTATTGTTCCCCGCCAGGTGCTGCGGCGCTGATGTGCTGCCTGCCAAATTTGTCGATCCACTGCCACAGGTTCTCTTAAAAAAAAAAAAAAAGTCATTTTACTTTAGTTCATCAATTACAAATCAGTCCACGACTTGCAAGCAAATCACAGCAAAAACAAAGTGATAAAAAGATAATGACATGCCGGAAACGGGTGCCGCCGCCCGTTGGGAAGAAGGCTCAGGTTGCGGCTCGGTCAACACCTTCCGACTTGCGCCAAACTTGGGAGACTGCAGATTCTCAATGTCGTGACGGCAAAGCGCCAAGGAAGCCTCCCCGCCTGCACGTCCACGACAGCTTCCGTTGTCACTCCACCTCGTTCTTGATGGTTTTCGGGCCCATTTCTTTGACGATCTGAAAATGAATCCCAGTTGAACCAAAGAGCAACTCCGATCCTGGCGGTAAACTCAAGTCGCTTCGCAACACACAGTAGCTTGGCCGATTGCGGATAATTCTTCTTCAGTACCACATCTTGAAAATTTCCTATCCGACTAAAAATGAAAATTACATACTGCGTGTTGAACACAACAACATAGCTGAATGGAGGAGGAGAAACAAAGGCATATATTCTTTATCCTCGATTGCCTACAAACCTTCCTGCTTGGCAAAACGTAGGAAGGCTCAAGGGTCCGAAGCAGTTGCCGGAAGCCGTCGCTCTCCACGATGCTGAGCGGCTGTGACTCCTTGATAATGAAATTCAGAACCGCCTGGTCCAGCGCGTGCTTCCTGGAGGCTTGATGGCGACCAATCAAATGATCGAGAGAGAGAGAGAGAGACAGAGAGAGAGAGAGAGAGAGGGCATTCGGTGTTAATAAAGCGAGCAGGAGAACGTCGTCAAATGTCTGCATACCCGCGGTGATTCTGGGCGGGTTTGCGACCTCGTCGTGTTCGTGCCTGGCTCTGAAATGTCTCAGCATGGAGGAGGTGCTTTTGTTAACATACGACAGCTCCGTCGAACAAATGCGACATTTTACCTGCGGAGAAAAAAAAAAAATTGAAAAGGAATCATTTCAACCGAGAGTCACTCAACTTTTTTTAGCAGGGGGAAAAAAAAAAGCAGTGTCATGTTTTTAAATAAAGGGATAGAAATGATTCCTTTTGAAAATCCAATTCATTGATAACAATAACCAAAACATCGATGACCAAAACAATCGTTAGTTGCAAATCAAAAGCCAAGACCTTCATAGACGACACAAGATCAAAATGGTCCCAGACGGCGGAAACCTTTCTTTTCCTTTCAAGGTCCATATCGCAATCGAAAGTTTTGGGAGTCTTTTCGTAGTGCGCCTCAGTGACCGGGGAAGCGGCAGTCGTCTCGGCCGCGGGACTTTTAGGTAAAGCGACACGTGCGCCGACGTGAGCTTTGCCTCTGAATGCTCGCAGCGTGCGCCGATGCGTTGGCGCGGCCGCGCCCGTCGCTTCTTCTTGCATGTCGTCATCGTCGCTATTCGACAGCGGAGCTAAAAGGTGGTCTGGTGCTCGTCCTTCGAAGGGGTCTCCCATCGGACTGAGATGAGGAAGCTCGGACCACTCGGGTGGTTCGTTTTCAGGCTCCACGGCGACAGCGGGTGGCGGCAAGTTGCCGATATGAAAACCCTCCTCTTCCTCTTTAACGTTGAACGCATCATCCCGGTCCAAAGCGGACACCCTCGACTGCGACTGGGAGGAAGGCTCTTGCTGACAACCAGTCAGTGGCCGGATGTCTGCGGGACGCAAGCGAGACACACACACACACACACACACACACACACACACACACACACACACACACACAGTTTACCTCGATTGTAGAACAACCGGTCCTCTAGGACTACCTTCAGGGGTGACATGGTCCTTGGGTTCGACTTATGATTTTGAAAATGTCCGTTCTATCCCCCCCCACCCCCCCGACTGGAGTCTGATGAATATTGCATTCGTGGAATGAAAATTAAGCCGAAAATCCATCAGTTTTGATCCATCCCGGGTGGGGGTGGGGGGTGTCATTTTGTCATGTACTGTCAACTGCTGTCGAATAAAAATGACGTGAAAGTCGAAGGTCACGGCTCGCCCGCTCTCGAGGTTTGGTCACGTGAGCGGTTGAGAGGAAAGAAATTTCACATGTACTGTATGTTGTATTGTTGTACATAGAGCAGATTTGACGATCAAGCTGACTTTTCTTTCTTTTTTTGACTTTTGACGTGACGTTTGCAAGTCGAGCCCGTGGGCACTTTGATTTCATGACATTTAGCCGCTGAACTGCTGTGTCAATTTTATGTTATCAACAAATTTTAAGTTGCATGTTTTGCCGTCTGTGACTGCGGTTTTTTTCTGAAAAGAGTCGTCCTGATTTTGTGGTTGGAGTGGCGTATCGTCTACGCTAAACGAGATAACTGCGAGGTCTCGTAACACACTCGCCGTTGACGTTATGCTGCGCGCGTCCTTTTTTAGAGAATTCAAATGTTACGATGAAGAAGCTCAGTAAACAGACCTTCGCCGCGTAGCATCATTTGAGACGCGCTAACGGCTTCCAGTTGTCTTCGCTGTCGCTCGTTCTCTGCTCTCGCTCGACTAAGTTGCTCCTCGTACGAGGCGATTGTTTTCTCAAAAAGGCCGAAGATTTCGTCGGCGGCCGCAATGAGTCGCTCCCGTACCAACTCTTTCAACATGTTCACGTTGAAGACAATTCACTTGAACCCTGGGTTTTGTCCACGCGAAGCGGTGAATACTGTGCAATTGCTAACTTCCGCACTTTTCTTCTCCGAATCCTGACTCATCGGCGGGTGACAAATGTCGTTTATCGCACATTACCGCCACCTAACGTCATTTCATTGTAACAGCAGCACCGAGCCAACGTCAGTCATCCCACGATTCCATCCTTCCATCCATCCATTTTCTGAACCGCTTTTATCCTCACACGGGTCGCGCTGGAGCCTATCCCAGCGGTCTTCGGGCAGGAGGCGGGGACACCCTGAACCGGTTGCCAGCCAACATCTGATTTCGCTGATGCAGAATGCAGCTTCCGAAAAGTGGACTTGGAAACAGTTTGATTAAATGCAAAAACATCATTCAGGCAGGCAAGGCAGATTTCGTTCAGCCATGATTGGACTTTTATTCTGAGTTTTTTTTTTTTTTTTTATAGATATGTGTCCTTTTGTAAACCAATCGTTCAACGGAGAATTGGGAATAACATTCCATACGTACAAAATGAGTTTTATTAAGATGTCCTGTATTGATAACATGTTTTCGTGTTGTCAATATAAGTCAACCCCATGTGAAGAAATGAGCAAGTTATGACTTATGTGTGACGGGAACGCTGTCCCTTCCAACATGGCCACCATGTCGGCACTTCCGTCGTCTGCATTGCGCGTGCGCAATGCGGCGGCCATCTTTGGAAGCAAGCGAAGGAAGCAAAGAGGCCAAAAACGGTAGTTTTTATTTAAAACCCTGGAGAACCCACGAGGTCTAATTTGGCCCCTATAAATTCTTATACTCAAATGCTACTCTTAAATCCCAAAGGGTCAAATTTGGCCCTAATCCTAAAATAAGATTAAAGCATTCAATATTAGTACAAAGCAGATAAAAAAAGAAGAGGAGAAACTGCAGACACAAACGGGCTTTAATAGAATTAAGAGTCCATCAAGCAGCAAAATAAGCCTAAAGGTATTTCTAGTCTTAACAAAGTTCAAAAACATAAGCAAAAATATATATATATATCAATTTTGACATGGTTTTATCTGAAAATTTCTAAAGCGTGGCTCACATCCACAAAAGGATTATGGAAGATGTGTGCCATACTATACTTTCATATCGTCTTCTTCTCTGACTTGTGGAAAGGACAGTTCGGTGGAGCGACAGACGGACTTGGTCAAAGTTATTGGTATAGCACTGTTCCCGAAATAAAATCCCACTGTGATCACAGACAGAAGTAACCAGGATCTGACAAAAGTAATCATACATATGAGTATTGTACAATAAAAATCAGACACTGTTTAAGAACTGTGGCTCAGTAGATTTATGACAGTGAATGACATTCAAAAAGCAAAAATGAAAAAAAAAAGACAAAAATGACCAGAATGTACATTGACGATGTCGAAACAACTTCAAAAACATTAAAAGTAACGAAATGAGTAGGTTTCTGAAATAACTAATAGGCAAAAAAAAATATTAACGAAAGTTTTTATCCTGGACTGAAAAGCATTTACACTCGGGGCGGACTTCACTTCTGGTGGCAACTTATTCCATTAGTGTGCAACAAAACAGCGCAGAAGTTGCCGATTTTCCGATGTCCAAAGGACGGAACTTTTAACCCGGCCCTTGGCAAGTTGACCATTTTTTGCAGAATCACATACGAACGGGGTGGAAGAGTTCTGAAAAAAAGAATTCGGTCTGGTCACAGTTCTCCATAGCATTTTCTGAAGATCCTTTAATTTTCTTCCCCCTCACTCACCGTCCGTCTCTTACTTGAGCTGCCAGCCCTCACCTATCAGCACCAACCAGGACAGCGTTGCTCAGCTGATTTCGTGCTATGAACTTTTGAAGCCAGCCTTGGGACGCTTCGAAGTCCTCGATGCCCAGAGAGCGCGCGATGGAGCTCGCCTTCTCCCGAATTCGCGGTCCGGTTAGCGGAAGGCTTTGAGCACGACAAGAGTTAAACCAATCCAGGACACGCTCATTGATTCCGCTGTACTTGGTCTGTCGGACCACGAGCAATTTCCTCTGACCGGGTAAACGGCCAGAATCGTACCGAGCGAGAATCGTTTCCTTGTTTCTCAACGTCTCGTAGATTTGAGTCTTTCCCACTCGGAGTATCTCCTGAATCTTTCTTACTTTGAATCCCGCTTCGCTTAACCGGATGCACTTCACTCGCTCTTCCACGGTCAATACCGTCCTCCTTCGTTTGGACGCCATCATCTACGGGACGTCAATGTAAATGAATCAAATTAAAATCTTTCGCCATTACAGTCAAACTCATGCCAAGAAACAGTCACTTAAATGTTTTTCGCATTTAGCCGACAAGTACATTCAAAGCTATTTTGTGTCCGCCAGAAATGTTTTCCTGCTCAAAGCGTGTCTGACGGCTTAGCAATCTCTTTAGCCCAATGAAGCTAGAAATTCATTTTCTCCCGTGTGGATCGTCATGTGTCGAATCTTATCGGACAGGTTCGCAAACTGTCTTTCACAAAGCGGGCAGCTCAAGCGCTTTTTCTCCCGGTGCATTCTGGCGTGTTTCGCCATTTCCGTCTTTGTGGTGAACACGGCGTCGCAAACGGGGCACGGCAAGCTTTTCTTGTTCGTGTGCGTTTTCGTGTGCCTCAACATGGCGGCCTTTTGCCTGAAGGTTTTTGCGCAAACGCCGCAACTAAAAGGCAGCTCTCTTTTGTGAATTTTCAAATGCGACACCAGGCTCGACCTGTATTTGAGCGTCTTGCCGCAGGTTGAGCAACAATAAGGGCTTTCGCCGGTGTGTGTTAGCATGTGTTGGCCCAAATGCGGCTGACTGGGAAACCTTTCAGTGCAAAGTGAGCAACCGTAGGGTTTTTCTCCCGTGTGCTTTCTCATATGAATAATCAGATATTGACTATGAAACGTTTTACCACACACCGAGCAGGGCAAACGGTTTTCACGCACATGGGAAGTTTCCTTATCGCCGAGAGTTGTCTTGTCTTTAGAGCTCTTCACCCGTTTGTTGGTGTTCTTTCGGTTGGCGCTGCCTGGCGCAGGAGTGAAGAGCTTTTCTGCCAGTGATCCTTCAGAGTGGTCTACGCAGTGGCGCCGGGGCCGGGGTCGGGGCGGTTCAGCGGCGTCTTCACTCCCCGTAAAGACGCTTTTCGGCGGCGACTTGCTGACGCCGAGCAGCCCGTCTTTGTCCTGAAGGCTGGGAGGAACTGGAATCTCCTGTTCCTCTTCATCATGGGTGAACTGTGGATCGTGTTCTCCCCCGTGGCCCGCCTGCTGCCCGAAGGCTGGAGGACAGAAAACAACACAAAGGCATTTCAGAGTACGCGGGTCCAAGAGCAGAATCTCAATGGTCTGTATGGACCAAGTGTAAGCCACCAAAACACATTCCGGACCTAACACGCGAGTACGCAGAGTTGTTTGGCAACGCAAGAATGCAGACGGAGACAAAACGGAAAGCCCAGACGCACTGAACAAATGGCAGATGCTTTAGCTCAGGCTGACTTGGATTTGGATCTCTCGATGGGCACCCAAAGAGGCATTCCCCGATGAGCGTTTTGACGTGCGATTCCGGCCGGCGTTGCCAATAGAACGTGTTCCCGCAATATAAGCAACTAAAGGCATTTTTCTCTTTTGTGTTTTCCCATGCGACTTTTCGAATGCTTTTTATCAGATGTTTTACAACAAACGGAGCGGGGAACATGTTTGATATGTTTCGGGAGTTTTCTTGTCGCCTTCTTTCGAGAGCTCTTCGACCGCTTCGCCTCACCTTCACGCTGTGCGTCGATCTTTGGGTCGTCATCTCTCTTTCGGCGCGGCACTTCGAGGTGGTCCGGTGGTGGTCCTTCACACTGGTTTCCGCTTGGATTGTGATGAGGAAGATGTGACCGCTCGGGTGGCTCGTCTTCATGGCCCGCGCAGGCGCGAGTCGGTGGCAAATTGCTGACGTTAACCAACACCCTCTCCTCCTTCAGGTCAATGGGCACCTCATGCGCTTCCTCTTCGACGTGGACGGAGAGCAGATCAGTACCTTCCTCTTTTACAAAGGCGGGCGGAGAAATCCTCTGCTCGGAACTGGAGCCCCCCAACTCTGCCTCCTTACAACCAATCAGCTGCTGGACGTCTGAAGGACACAAACAACACAAACATAATTTAGATGACGTCGGACAGATGTGACCTAGTAGTATATGTACATTTCCAACTAAAAGAAAATGTCAGAGGCCACAAACGACTTTGTTTTGGTGCTAGCCGTTAACCTCATTCGTCACAAAGTCATTGAAAAGAAACTCGAGTTGAGAAAGACAACGCTGAACCACGGTGTGCCATTTTGGTACCATTAAAAATGGCGGCCCAAAATGGCCGACCAAACGGCTGAATGGTTCTTAACAAACAAAAAAAGCGTAAGTGGAAAAAAAGTGCAACATCACGTGATGTCAGATAACTGCTATCAATCGTCACAAAAATATATGTGTACGTTTGTACTTCAACCTTCGAAAATAACGATCAAATCTTGTTTCAAGAGGATCGATCCCCCTTTGAATTTTTACTCACGTATTTCTGACGCCGAGGCACGGATATGAATGTATTATTTTTTAAAAGCATAAACAATGTTAAGTCAATACGATGGTTAAAAGGTAGAAGCTCGGACCTTCGAGTCGTATAAGAACTTGAGTCTTGCAAACAGCTTCCAGTTGTCGTCGGTGCCGCTCGGTTTCATCTCTGGCTCGACAAAGTTGCTCCTCGTACGACGCCATCGTTCTTTCAAACAGTGCGAAGATTTCGTCGGCGGCCGCAATCATTCGCTCGCGTACCAAATCCTTCAACATTTTCACGCTGTAGAGCAAACTGTTCGACGAGGACAGTGACAACACTTGCAACCTTACGCTTTCTTCACGTGGGGCGACGGATAAGACGCTAACCTGTGCGTTTTTATTCCTTTGGTGTATCGGCAGATGGGATGTTACACGTAATGTGCATTACCGCCACCTACTGTGCTGGAGTGTCGGTCAGCAAACGTACCGCATGCGCATAGCTAAAAACAAAGATTCTAAGTTTTACCATTCCGGTTCTCTGTGGATCGGATCGATGTACTTCAAGTAGACTTAAACCTCACACTATGTCCACTTTGAGCGACCAACCCTGAAGTTTTGTCCAAATTCTGGAATTCACTCCCACCCAACATCCGAAATATTGATTCTCTTCCCACATTCAAATCCCATGTCAAAATCCACCAACTTAAAATCGCATACTCAGTTTAAATTAATCTCTTCTTTTTATTATTTATTATTTTATCTGTGGTTTTATTGTTCTTGTTTTGATTGTAAGGTGTCCTTGAATGTTTTGAAAGGCGCTTATAAATAAAATGTATTGTTATTATTATTATTATTATTATTATTATTATTATTATTATTATTATTATTATTAAGTGGCATTACCGCCATCTACCGGAGATTCATATATAACTACGCTCTGAGGGGAAAAAACGTTCAAGCAAATGTTCATTCTTTATTGCGTTTTGGAGTTCTAAATGCTTTTCATTTTTTGTCAGAAGAGGAAAGAAGACTTTAAAAGTATCGATTCAGGTTACGTTTTAAGACAGAAGAGTCAGACCATCTTTCATACGATAAAAATGGACCGATTGTTGAGCAGGTTCTTTGAATGCTTAAGCTTTCGTTAATACTGCCGTGAAAGAGTCTGCATGAAAGTTGAAATTCTTCAGTACTTCATGTCAAATCCCTCGTGTATTATTAGCCCCAAATTATCTTTGGAAAGAGGCCGCTCCCCCAAAACATTCCTGGTACTTTTTTTCAGGCGGTCCTCAATAGCGCCGCAGAGTGGCAGCAGCGCCTCACCACGGACACTCCGCTGCCGTAAAACCAACAAAGAAGATAAAAGGGCGGAAGTAGGGCTGCCTTAAAAACAACAACGCGACGGCGATCGGATAAAATCGAGTGGAAAACTCATCCAAAAGTGCAACTAGTCGGTACGACTGCGGCTAAGAAAATGATCTGACCGCTTCAGACGACAATGGCGCTGTACGAGGAGAAGGAGCGACAACGAAAACAATTGGAAGCTGCTGGCGACAATGGCATGTGTTTGCGCATCCAAGGTCTGTCCACATTGACATCATTGTGCTGGATGTTAGACCAGCAGCTCATCTCGTCCTCTTCATTTCCCCCCTTACATTCTCTGTTAAGCCTTTCTATCTGTACCGTGACTTTATTAACAGCATCATCCACATCAGAAAGCTGACTGAGAAAACAGCAAGATGCGCCAAACTGTGACGGGGCGTCGGGTGCCTACTTGGAAGAATCGAAATGATCAAACATACTCGGTCTTGATTGACTTTTTTGTTCGCCATATAATTCCACCAATATCTCTTCAGATTGTAAATGAATAATAAAGTATTATTGTGCAATTCAGCACATTCTAAAAATGATGAAAAACGCAACTTTTTGTGTTTCCAAGCTGTTGTACTACCGTATCTATATTCATATACCTATTCAACCGAATAGGCTAGTTGCACTTGAAAATGTAAGACGGTCACATCCTCTATATCGAGATACGAGTTATCGTTATTGTTGTTAGCGTTAAGGGACAAAAAATAAGTTATTTTATTATGAACATATTTTGTTAATTAATCTGCATATTTATCAATTTTCAGGGTTGTTTTTCTGACAAACATCAGAATCAGCTCAAAAAAAAAATCACACAATGGCAAAGTGTTGTTTGCATGGCAGTAATGGAATAACGGACTTGTTTGTGTCCTTCAGACGTCCAGCAGCTGATTGTTCGTCAGGAAGAGCTTCCCCCTCAGCTCCAATGGGGCAGCTCCATTTTCAAGCAAGAGGAGCCACAGCTTCTCCACATTAAAAACGAAGACGAGGAGCCAAGGCCCCGCCACATCAAAGAAGAACAAGAGGATCGACAGTCCTTTCATGTGAAAGAGGAAGCGAAGGATTCGCTGCCCATCCACGTTAAAGAGGAAGAAGAGGCGGTCCGCGTCAGCAAGTTGCCACCGACCGGCGTCTCTGTGGACCAAGCGCCCGAGTGGTCACAGCTGCATCGTCATGGCGCGCCCAGAGACCCCCGCGGGGGGCCGTCCCCGGACAAGCTGTTAGCGCCTCTGTCGGACAGCGACGACCCGGAGGAACCTCTGAGGAGCGACGCGGACTGCCGAGCTGACGGCAAGCTGTCGAAAACATCACAGACGTGTAAAAAACGAGTTTCCTGCTCGGTCTGCGGCAAAGGTTTTGCTCAGCAGCATTTGTACAGGCACATGAGAACGCACACCGGAGAAAAACCCTTCAGTTGCTCATTTTGCGGTAAAACCTTCTCGACAAAAGACCAAATGGAATCACACACAAGAATACACACCGGGGAGAACCCTTTTACGTGCTCGGTTTGCTCGAAGACCTTCATCCAAAAGGCCAACATGATTCGGCACATGAGAACGCACACGGGGGAAAAACCATTCAGTTGCTCGACGTGCGGCCGAGCCTTCGCTCTGAAGGAGCATGTGGATTCCCACATGAGAGTGCACACGAGGGAAAAGCCCTTCTGTTGCTCCGTTTGCGGCCAAACGTTCACCTTGAAAAAAAACCTGGCGCCGCACCTGAGACTACACACGGGAGGAAAACCCTTTGGTTGCTCTACCTGCGGTAAAACCTACTCGCGCAAAGACTATTTGGAAACGCACGTGAAAACGCATTCGGGAGAGAAACCCTTCTGTTGCTCGGTCTGCGGTAAACGTTTCAGCCTGAAGCGAAACGTGGTGCCGCACATGAGAATCCACACGGGAGAAAAGCCCTTTCCTTGCCCAATTTGTGGCAAAAGATTCACTCTCAAGCAAACCATGGAATTGCACGTGACGATCCACGCCGGAGAAAAACCCTTCCGTTGCCCGTTGTGCGATAAAGCATTTGCCGACAAGTCCAACATGAAGTCGCACATGAGGACCCACGCAGGAATTCCAACCCGTTAAGTTGCTCCCTTTGTTTGGGGGAACAAAGGGGAAGACTTGAACGTTTGACAGGAATCCTCTGCATGCGTCCGAAGCAAAAAGGGTTCACGGAAACGAACCGACTCACTTCAAATTGAAAAAAAAAGAACTACAAATGGGAATGCTTTAAAAGAAAAACAAATTGAAGACTTCAATTTAGAAAACTAACTATCATTGGAGCGAAAATATCCATGGTTTTGTTCTCTGTCAATGAATTTACCTGAACTTTCGGGTTCATTTGAAATGTATTTCATTTCGCTATGACTCAACGACCCAACAGAAAAAGGAAGGTCGTTTGAGAATTGTAGTTTACTGAATTACACAGCACTTTGTGAACTTTTTTTTTATCTCGCTCTCGACAAATACTCCATTTATTACAAAATAAAACAAATACTAAACTAAAATGAAGCTTTTAAATGTATTTTATTTTTTATCAGTTTCCTCCACCCCCCCTCCCCAGAAAACTTTTTTATCTTTTAACTGTGCAGAAATATGAAATGACAATGAGGTTTGTTTTTGTCACATGGCATGAAAATAAAACAAAGAGTTACAAAACCAGTGTCATCAAAGTTCAGATGCATTAGATAGAAATTTCAGGAGGTGACAAGTCATTCGTGAAACTATTATAAAAGGAGTTGAAGGGTAGCTTTACTGTGGACATACAAAGTCCGTACCCCGTCGTTCAAATGCCAGGTTTTTGTCATATCCAGTAAAAACCGAGACCAAGACGAACCATTTCAAAACATGTTCCGCTTTTAATGCAACATACAACCTGGGTAATTCTGGAGGTGTCCTCAATGTCGCCACAAGATGGCGATGGTGCAACGCATTAACCGCCGAAGAAGAAAAAAGGGGAAGTCGGCGTTGCTTCAAGACGGCGACCGGGTGAAATCTTATGAGGGAGAGGGGGGAAAAAAACACGAACAAATTGAAATAGGTCTGGGAGCGACGAAGAACACATTCTGACTGTTCAACGGAGCAATGGCGTCGCGCGAGGAGAACGAGCGACAACAAGAGCAACTGCAAGGTGCTGGCAAGAACATACCTGTCAACTTTTCGGAGCGCCAACCTGTATAAACTACCGAAAAAATCCTTATAAAGAGCAAAAAACCCTTAAAACATACCAAAGCATTTTATATGTCAAAATAACGGCAGAAAAAAAACCCACGCAATATGAATGATATATTTGTTTCCTTGTAGAACTTGCTTGTACACTACCGAAGTATCCAATGAATACTCTGCTGTTTTCAACTAGGAACCACGTGATTTACTGGAAAGTTACCGGAAATGAAAGCATTCGAGTAGACTAGCACCATTCTGAGCAAAAGCAAACGGAACTACCTGTTAGGGGGAAAAATATGGCCATATACGTAAGATTCACCACAAAATCCGTATGAAATATGGCTAAACCGTATGAGTTGACAGGTATGCAAGAATCACATCGAATTGTCCGGCCGAGGTCTGTTCACATGTTCATTCGTGTTCTCCATGTCATGCTTTTGACATTAGTGGATGAAGTCACGGGCCTCAGTTAAGGGGTCGATATTGATAGTAAAATAACAGCAACACAATTAGAGAGAGTTGTGCACGTGTCCAAGATTCGATTCGGGGCTCCGAGGATTCTTGTGTGGAGTTTGCACCTTCTCCCCGTGCTTGCGTGTGTTTTCTCCGAGCACTCCGGTGCCCTCCCACATTCCAAAAAACATGCACGGTTAATTGGACACTAAATTGTCCCCAGGTGTGATTGTGGGTGGGAAGGGTTGTTTGTCGTTTTTATTTTATGTCAAAAAAATTGTGGCGGGATTTTCCTGTTGAACGACTCGCTAGTTTTACTTTTCAGTGCAGACGCAGTCAAATTAGCTGTTTAAAAGCAATGCAAAGCAAAATTGTGATAAGTAAGATTGGATGGGATGAAATTGTGGTAATTTCTTTTACTTGGCCGTACTCCCCCCCCCCCCAAAATTCTCATTTCAGTTGGTCGCACTTCCACCTGATCATCTCCATTCGAGAAGAAAAACGAAAAAGTTCAGCATCGTATGTTGCAATGCATCCTGAAAACCAAAGAAAGGGCGAAAAATACAGAAGTAAACAAACAACATGGGTCTCCCCCCACCCCCCCTGACAGTACATTGAAAGCGCATTAGGTTGCCCATCTGTGGTTGAGATGACGACGACAGTGGCTTCTTTTCTATGCAACAGTGGACTCTTTCGAGAGGCATTCACCGTGGCCGCCCCAAAAAGTGTATCATGATTGAAGTTGTTCATATCAGTCGATATTTATGAATGACTTTATTTAACGAGTCACAGTAAGGGCTGAATTGAGGTCATTTTATTTCCAAATACAATGTTTGACTTCTGCGATTGGCTGACAAACCATTTGAGGGTGCGCCCCGCCTGGTGCCCGAATTCAGCTGGGATCGGCTCCAGCACGCCCGCGACCCTCCTGAGGAAAAGCCGATGAGATAATGGACGGATGGATAATATTAAACCTTTAATAAGAGGTCAACACAACAATGAAATAGTCAAACTGGTCAATGCAAAGATTAAATGGATGCCTTTCGAAAGAAACTTTGCTTGATATTTTGTCAAAAATGGCAGAGAATATCTGCAAATCAAAATGCATGATGTCAAATAAATGCAAGATGCAAAGACAGAAACCCAAAGAAATGTGAGGATGTCAGAGGAGCTGCAACACCAAACAACCCTGTTGCCAGTCCGGTCAGTTTCGCTGAATGTGTGGCATGGTTTGGAGTGGTCTCATTGCCTTGCTTGTGCCCCGCAGACATCCAGCAGCTGATTGTCCTTCGGGGAAAGGTGGCCCCCAGCTCCACTTTACCGCGTGAGGGTCCACAGCCTCGTCGCATCAATGAGGATAAAAACGATTCGCTGCTCCTTCCCTCTCAAGAGGAAGGAAACGATGCATGGCCAACTTATGGTGAAGACCAAGAGGAGGAGCCACGGCCCCCAGGCATGAAAGAGGAAGACAAGGGGTTGGATGTCAGCACGCTGGCGCCGACCGGCGTCTGCGTGAAGGTCGAAGACGAGTCACCCGAACGGACGCGGTGTCATCATCGCAGCGGAGCGGGAGAGCCCTGCGCTGGCCCGTCAGCGGAAGAGCTCTTGGCGCCACTGTCGGACAGCGACGACGTGGAGAGCGACGCCAACTCTGAAGGTGACGACCAACAGTCGAGGTGCGGCAAGAACAACGAGGCGACTTCACAAATGCCTCTCGAAAATTTGACCTGTTCAGTTTGTGGCGACCACTTCGGCAAACGGTCAACACTGGCTCGCCACTTGAGGACGCACAGGAAGGAAAAGCTCCTCCGCTGCCCTTGGTGTGTCAAAACGTTCTCTCTCAAGACTCAAGTGGTGCAACACATGAGAGTCCACACGGGGGAAAAGCCTTTCTGTTGCTCCGTTTGCGGCAAAACTTTCTCGAATCAGTCGAACATGGTGAAACACATGAGAACGCACACGGGAGAAAAACCCTACGGTTGCCCGGTGTGCCAGAAGAAATTCGCCCAGACGTCGCACATGGTCACCCACATGAAAATCCACACAGGCGAAAGGCCTTTCAGCTGCTCCGCCTGTGGGAAAAGATTCACCCTGAAGCATAACATGGCAGCGCACGCGAGAACGCACACGGGAGAGAAACCTTTCGTTTGTTCCGTGTGCGGGGAAGCCTTCTCGCGGAAGCGACAACTGGGGCGACACATGAGCGCGCACACGGGGGAGAGCCCCTTCACTTGTTCCGTTTGTGGTAAGACCATCACCCAAAAGCAAAATCTGGTCACGCACATGAGAACGCACACGGGAGAGAAACCTTTCTGTTGCCCCATTTGCGGGAAAACCTTCTCAAATAAATCCAACATGTCCAAACACACGAGAACACACACAGGGGAGAAACCCTTTCGCTGCTCATTGTGCGCCAAAACATTCTCCCAAACGTCGCACATGGCAACGCACATGAAAATGCACACGGGGGAAAGGCCTTTCTCTTGCTCGGTTTGCGAGAAGAGATTCGCGCTGAAGCGAAGCATGGTCGCGCACGAGAGAACGCACACGGGCGAGAAACCCTTCCGCTGCTTAATTTGCGGCAAAGCATTCTCTCAAAAGCGGCAACTCGCACCACATATGAAAACACACACAGGGGAAAAGCCCTTTTGTTGCTCGTTCTGCGACAAAACATTTTCCCAAAAGTCACACATGGCGTCACACGTGAAAATACATACTGGGGAAAGACCGCACAGTTGCCTGCTGTGCGGTCAAACATTTATTCAGAAGCGCAGTCTGGTGCTCCACACAAGAACGCACACCGGAGAGAAACCATACGGTTGCTCGATGTGCGCCAAGACCTTCTCTCACAAGTCGTGCGTGGCGTCGCACATGAGGATACACACGGGGGAAAAACCCTTTCGTTGCTCAGCGTGCGACCAATCTTTCATTCAGAAACACAGTCTGACGTCGCACATGAGGACACACACGGGGGAAAAACCATTTAGCTGCTCCACTTGTGGGAAGGCATTCTCCCAAAGGCCACACCTGGTTTCACACATGAGAACACACACGGGAGAAAAACCCTTTTACTGCTCACTCTGTGGTAAAAGATTTTCCCATAAGTCCAACATGGTCAAACACATGAGGACGCACACGAGAGAAAAAAGCTCACTGGAAATGGCGCTCACGGGGCAGGTTTGACTGCACACAAACAACCGAGGATGAATGTTTCGGGAAAAAAAACAAACAACAAAAAATAAAAGGGGAGTCCCCGAGATGTCGCTGAATTGGAAACATTGTCTTCACTTGCTGAATGATATTCTTCTCAAGATCTGCAAAAGTTCGATTTAGTTGTGCAGGACGGTGATTTTTCCGACCGTGCTACGCAGGCTCCCTCTAGTGGTAGACGAAAGGAATCACTGAATTCAGTACCAACAAAATGTGCTGAAAATATTACTGTAGAATGAAGCTTTAAGCAATGCAAGCCTGTTTAATTTTTTTT